AAAATTCTCTAAAAATAGTGAGACAATATACCCCATGCCAAGAGGAATGGGCCAAAATACTTTCGGACTTTACTCCTTGAGTTCTTTCTTTTTCCATTTACTTCTTTACTTTATTGCTTTTCCTCTTCCTTTTCCTTTAGCTTAAAAGTTTTTGATGGGTAAGTGTTCGACCAGATTTAATAATTTGTGATGATAAAAAATTTTTTGTTTTTATCCATCCCCCTTGGAGAAATTTTTTTATCCACTTTATGAGATAATTTTTTTTAATCATACATAAAGATATGGTCCAACCCCCCCATTTTGCTTTTCCATATTAATTACTTTACTATTTTCATTTCTTGCTTACCTTTTTTCCCTTTTTTTTTTTTTTTTTTTTTTTTTTTTTTTTTTTGGGGGGGGCAATATGCTCTACTATTACTTAATTATTTAGGAAATTGCAGGTGGACACTCTTTGATAGGTGTATTTTGAAGTTGCACAAATCCTTATAATAAATCATTTCACTTACAAATTCTTCTCTCAACTTTGAAGATGTGGGACCAAATATTTTTGGAAATAATTTTTTGTTAATGCAAACATGTATTAACTTGCTTTTTGTTATTATCTTTTCTTGTTTTCATAATGTGTTACTATTTTTCTTTAGTATCAACTGTAGACCAATTTTTGGATGAACACCAACAAGAAATGTAACAATTACAAGTGAAAAGTACGTTTTTTTTTTTTTTTTTGCCCATATATTCTTGTTATAATTGTAATAAACTTCCCCTATTATAAATCTCCTTCCAGGGTTGAAGGAATATATACGAGTGATACTTTTGGGGTAAATGTGGAAAAAGACCCATCCCAAAGAAATATTTCTTGATGAAGTTAGTTATGATAATAATTGTAAATAAATTTAATTTCTCAAAAAAATTATAGATATTTTAAGGTTTGCCATTTTTGCTCTTCAAAAAGAAATTTTTTGTTAACTATATGCACATTATGAAATGCACCTTTCTAAACTTTATATTTCCCGTATCCAAAGTTTTTTAAGAGTATAACTTTCTGCATGAATTTATAAATGAAGACAACTTTCTATCGCATAGAAATGAACCAAGTTTCCTCTAGAAAATTAAAAGATACACGTAACCAATACGAGCGCCTACCTATATAAACCCATATCTTCATAATTAGATATACCCAAAAAATCAATACCCCATAATGCCAGAAAGGCTCTCAAAGACCAAGCCAACAAACAACATAACCATCTAAAGTGGGTAATTTGTTTTGTTTAGCTAGCCTCATTTGCAGGCCATTCTCTAACCTAAGTTTTGCCAAAAATCATAGATCATCACCTACGACGGAGTTAATGAAAAAAAAAAAAAAAAAAAGAGAAAAGCAACGGCCTCAACCCATTACTCACATTTTATTGACCTGTATATGTGACGAACAAACAGCAACGAGGCACGGAAACCCACAGTCCCAAGCATGAGGAAGAAACCACAGCAGATGCAGGCCATATACCCAAAGAAAAAGGAGGTTTGCATGAAACCAGACATGTCTGATCGTGCATAGTAGTAATATAAGCAATATGCATAGATAAACAGCCCAGTTGATCCTCCACAAAGAAAAGACCTGGCATCAAACCAAAGACAGGGATTATTCCACAGTTACGGCAAATGCTACTACTGAAACTTACTCACAGTTTGGTTGACAACACACAAACAAAAACTGAAATCAACAAAATTAAGGGAGTCAACAGCATCAAATACAAGCTGGCTGCTTGGAATTATACCAGGAAGCCACCAGAAAGTTAAAGAGATCAACCATGAAGCCTTGGAACAAATCAATAATGAAACTAAAAGTAAAGGTTCAACCACCAGAAAAATTGGAACATCAAACATTGGTATATCTAAAAATAATAGTATGTATTTGATAACTAATTATAAGGATCAATAACATTATCAGTATGTTTCAGTAACCATTCAATAATCTGCTCAGTTTTTGCATCTTCAATTATTTCTTTTTTTTTTTTTACAGAAAAAATAATATATTTGAGGAAGAAAGGGAAAAGACAATCTAGAGGAGGATAAACTATCCTCAACGAAAGCAAATTAGAAACAGAAACAAACAGAGAAAACCAAAGCATCAATACGAAATCGCAACCCAATTCCTCCCAAAAGTAAGGAAAAGAAACCACTCCAAAGAAACTGTGCCCTTTAACCAAAAGAGAAGTTAAGCACACAATCCTATACCAAATAAAATTTTCAAAATAAAAACGCTTCAGCAATAGCTTTTACTATAAGGAATATTAGTGTTTTAGAGGAATGTTAGTATGAAATCTCTTCCAAGAAACAACAAATAATAGACTTACGTTGTTATCTTATCAACTGTTCAACTAAAAAAAAATCACAAAAGAATATAATTTGATTATTGGGAGATCTGTTAGTTCAGAGACATGGCTTCGCGAGGAATCCGGATAGAAAGGAGAAGCCAGATACACCTTGCCCTTATTTCTTTATCCGTCCTTCCAGTCATTTGGAAAGAAAGGTAAATAAGGGCATTCAACAGATCATATTCCCCTTTCCCCAGAATTAAAGATCACTGGTCTCAAATGCTTTTCCTAAGGTTCATAGCTTGTCCACTCAATATGGAGGTTCATTTAACGGACTTCTCAATTTGACTAAACTATAGATCAATTATTTCGTAAAAGATAGCAGCCACCCATCCCCAGTCCCTTGTTAATAGCGTATTTATTTTCTTCTAAAAAAATTTTGTGATACTATGAACCAAAAAAATGAAAAGCAAAACTTGTAAAAATATATAAAGATAAAACCAGATAAACTACTTTGACATAGCAAGAAAAGACAGCAATAACAGACTAAAAAGGTTCGAGAATATTAACCTCCACCACCATTCATGATCTTCAGCAGCAAGTTGGAAGTACGTCAAAGCCACAGTTATAAATGCAGTGACAATTAGAAGAATAATAAAGACGATAAACAAGATGCTGTAGATGGTATAAATCCTGTGACCCCATACACTTGCGAAGATGTAGTAGAGCTCAATGTAGATAGCGCTAAAAGGAAGAAAGCCTGCCATTGCCATCTGAGGGATAGCACTCCTATACCAGGGCAATGGTGGAATTTCTCGGGGATACTTTGTGGTGCGGCAAGGGGCTTGGAACTCAGCCTTGCTATTCTTTCCAGCAATACCACCCAACACAAGCAGTGGTGACGTCACTAACATCCATATTAGAACAATGACCACAATAGTGCCAAAAGGAAGAGCTGCAGTTGCACTATAGGCAATGGCAACAGTATTCAGAAAGCAGAATGTAAGAAACAGAGGCCCGCAAAATAGGCATCCAGTGAGCAGAAGATTCCGGACCTGTCAAGAAAAAGTAAATATTACTTCACAGCAGGGATGAATATTATTGAGAAGTCCTAGCTCAAATGATTGTAAATTATATCAGCACAAACCCAATTCTTTCCCTCAAGCTGACAATAGAAAGAAGCTGCTGTATATCCCGCAATTCCAGAAGTGAGGGCATAAATAACCACCAGAGCAGTAAATAAAGCTCCCCGATTGTAGGGATAGAAGACACCAACCAGAGCGAGCATAAAAATAAACACGGTACTGGAGAAACAAGTTAAAGAAAAGGGAGCCATCAATTATCAAGAAAAAAGATTGAAGCACAGGGAAAAAATGGAGCATCATGAGCAGAAGCAAATCAACAGTCCTTAAGAAACTTACAGAGTGAACAACTGGGTTCCAGAACCAAGACATGCAGCAAATAAGGATTTGTATTTTGGGAATCGAAAGACATCACCATGAATGTACTTCCATCCTGTCTCCTCTTGGTCATCAGCAGCTTCCTCATCTTGAGCATACCTTTCGAGAAAAAGAAAGTACAGAACAAATGATAAACCGAGACAGAAACAGAAAACCATGAGGTCAAAATGGAGGTGTACAACTAAAACTTACTTCATGAAATCGTTCTTCAGGACACGCATCAAAATTGTTGCAAGAAAACCAGTCAGAAGGAGAACAGTGACACAGGAGTTAATTATAGAGAACCAATGAATTTCCAAGTGATGTGGCAGTGAAGATGACATCGAGTACTTCTCCATCCTCTTCTCAAAAGGAGTTTCAGTTTCCTTCCATTTCACAGTGTACATGAACTCAGCATCAACTTCCTTGTCTTCCGTGAGGTCCAGGAGGGAATGAGGATCCATTCTAGCACTGATTTCAATTACACGGTCCTTATTGTAAAGAACATCAAACTGAGTATGCTTGTAAAGGAAATATTTGTACTCGCTTGGATCAGCTTTGCCTTCCTTGTCAACTTTTCCAATGAAGCCCCAGATGGGCAAATCATCGTAGTACATTTGGAAGTAATAGTCCTTTTCAACTGCCTTTCGGAACTGAGCAACATCTTCCTTGGTAAGCTTCTTTCTACAAACAACAGCAGAGTCTTTCTCTTCTTTGAAGTTGAGTTTATAAGGAGCACTAACAAGCCGATCCCCATTCAGAACTTCACCTAGAGCTTCTTTCTTCTCTTTCAAATGTTCTGCAATTTAAGCCCACTCACCCAGTAAGAGATACAAAATCACTAAAGAAACAAGAATCCTTAATGAATCAACCCATCTGAACACAATTCTATAACACTTTGGAAAACCCATATTGAACCATTTTGTTAGGTTAAAGGAAAGGCAATCAGCTCAATACTAAAAAATTGCTTATGTTCTGAATGCTCCCAACCTGTAGGTTGGAACTGCATCTGGAGTAACACGGTTGAAGGGGGGTTGACCAACCCAATAATGGGAGGCTGCAACCAATTTATGCTTGGCTAGATAGAATACAAACTTAGTTAGATGAATGCTTTACCCTCAGAGAGATAAAGCTTAACCAATTTCCATCTACAGTGGAGATAGAATTATCATTTAAATTTAAACAGAAACTGTCATTAAAACAAAAACCACAGATGCCAACCTATCATTTTTACTACAAATGAGAACATGGGAATTTATCAGATTGGCCAGATTACATCTAGCTGAGGAAGCTTATAGAGCTTCCCCTTCTCCCGCAACCAAGCTTGACAAAGAATTATTACGAGTATTCAAATACATAACCATGTCCATTTGTAACTACGTGCTTGTATATAATTGCACACGTGTCTAAGCATGTCTATAGATGTCTATGTATATACGATTATGCAGGAGTTTTAAGATAAAAACCTGGAACGCAGAAGGGCAGATCGAAATACCGATACGTTTCACTGAAATCACCAAAGCGTAATACAAACAAAATTAGCAATCAGAAGCAACCCATCGAATCCCAGCGATGAGATAAAATGACAAGAACAAAAAATCCCACACATAAATTGTACAAGGAAATTAATGTTTTTTTTAGAAAGAAGAAAAAAGATTCTCCAAAACAAATTTGGCAGCATTTTCTTCTTGCTTCCCGAATTTACCGAAGTTTCCAGCTCTTCTCACCTGTCATTATATGTTTGTAAAGAAAAAGGTGCAATTCAAACAAATTCAACCCAAACAGGCCCTTATGCAGTCCCGTCCTGAGATCCGAAGGAAAATCTCCTATGCAAATCAGATCTAACCTACAATTAAACCCAACAAAGCAGAAGAACGGACGCAGAAATGGGGGTTAAGATAAGGTTACCTGGGGTTGTGAAACGGGCCGACCTTATTGGCATAGAGAGGAACCGGGTCGCCGTCCTTGTATCGGTGATCGGATGCATCAGATCTCACATAGCTCACACCGCAGGAAATTAAAACTCCCAGAAGGAGGATGAACGCAGAAGATTTGATCATGCTTTTTTTATTTTCTCTTTTCTGAAATGAGACAAAAGAAAAGGGGAGAGAAGTGATGAAATCTTTACGGAAGTGAAGAAAATACAAGGTAGGCAAAAACGAAGAATATATAATATGAGAAAACAGAGCAGAGCCAGAGTCAGTTGTTTTAAAATAATAATTAATAACAATTAATAATAATAATTCGAGTTTTTGATAATTTTAAATTTTGTTTTCTCATTTCATTATTTTACTTAATTAATTATTATTATTATTATTTGTTATGGTTTCTTTTATCTGTTAGGTAGTTAATCATGTCGCGGCCCAGAGGCCAGATTTGGGCCTGGGCTGAAGGGAAGCTGAAACCCTTTTCACTCGTCACCTTCTTCACTCTTCACATTTTCGCTGTTTTCTCTAACTTATTTGCAGTGCTTTCACCTTCATCAGAGCAGATAAAATCGCTCAAGTTTAGTTGGGGGCAAACATGTTGTGCATGGTTGCCTAGAAAACACGAGAAAGTGAAGGAGACATAAGAAAATTTATCGATATTTACCTACTTTTATCTTCTTCTATTAGTTATTTGAAATTTTTAGAATTGAGGATTTTGTAGTTCGTTTTCTTTTCATATTCTTCCTTTTTCCTAACCAGATATAGAATTGGTTTTCTAGGTCGATGATGGTTTGAGTGAATGGTTCTTCATGATGGTTTTCTCGTGCGAGATGATATTAATATATTGCATGACAACTGTTTGTGTTTTTGTCTCTGTATTAACATAATTCTAAAAAATGTCTAAAAAATAACGAGCTAACAAATTCGGTAAATATAATTTGATTATTTTAAAACTATGAAGTGACCGCCAACCCATTTCTACTCTAACGCAAGTTTCTTTTTTTTTTTTTTTTTTTTGTTTAATGTATCCGCCCTGTACAAGAAGCTGGAGGACTGAGGAGCTTAGGCTCTTTGTATGTAGCTCCCTTTTCCTTCAGGGTCAAGATCAGGATCAGGCTGAGGGTGAGAGTGCCGGAGCCTGTTTGTGGAAACTGGATCAAGAAAAAAGAAGCTTGAGTATTCAAACATTTGATTTTTGGCTTTTGTCTTAGCTGCAGAGCGGATGGAAACTCTATAAGTTGGTTGTTTGTCTTCGTCAACTTCCAAGTCAACTGGAGACTGAGACAACCAGACAGTCGACCGTGCTTCACATTTTCACTCTTTTTTCATACAGAGGCGGAGTTCTCTCTTTCCTCGTAGAAGATGAAACTCATTAAAGGTTGCTGACTTGCTAAGCTTGTCCTGCGATCTGCATGGTTCCCAAGAAAAGAGGGGAAAGTAAGAAACAATTTAGGGATCTCAACCTATTTTCATCTTTTTTCTTTTTTTTTTTCCTCTCTTCTGTTCTTTAAATTTCGCATTTTCTTTTTCTGTCAAATTGGTGCTTAACTGAATTAGAACTTCAGATTTAAAAAGACGTTCTTCTATCTTCATATTCATTTTCGTATGCCTATCTACTAGGTAACTAATTTTGATGCATTTACATTTTGCAGCAAGATAAAATGGAGGAACCTGAATTGCTTCTTGTCATTTCTGTTCTTGGTCTGTGTTTTTGGGGCCAAGTCGGAGCAGATGGCTCCAATCATCGATATAAACCTGGAGATAAGGTTCCTATCTATGTAAACCTAGTCGGTCCATTTCACAACCCCAGGTAATTAGTAGACTGCTTTTTCTTTGATATGATTTTTGAAAGTATTGATTTTGTTAGTCCATGACGAAAGTTGTCGGTTTCTCTGACAGTTTTGGATCTTAAATCTTTCAGCAAAGTTGGGTTGTGTAATTTTAATGATCTCTAGATCCAAACAAGTTTTCACTTCATATTATGTTGTAGTTATGCAAAAGACATGATAAGTTAGATGAAGGAATTGAATAGTCTCTTGTTTGTAGCCCTATTTCAATGCTCTATGTTACAGCTCATGATGTGAACTACCAAGGATTGATATGTCTAGTAACCAGCAGCTTTCCTCTTAGTTTGATTTGTACGTTTCTTTGGTTTTTGGTGGATTCTGAAATTCAAATAATGAGGAGAGCTTCTTACTCTTTATATACTAATGAAATTGTGCATGTATTTTTTCAAGCAGTGAAACTTACAGCTATTATGATTTTCCTTTCTGTCACCCAGGTATACATCTCCAGCTCTGTTTCTCATTTTTGTCTTATGTTTATACTTAAAAAGTATATTTTATTTTTCTAAGACTGGTTCAATCTCAATGGCAGACAATGTGAAGGAAAAGAAGGCAAGTCTTGGTGAGGTGTTGCATGGAGATCGTCTTACTAGTGCTCCATATAAACTTGAATTCCTTGTGGGAAAGGATTTTGAACTTGCTTGCAGAAAAAATTTGACCAAGAAAGAAGTTTCACTTTTCCGAAAAGCTGTCAGTAGTGATTATTATTTTCAGATGTACTATGATGACTTACCTATATGGGGATTCTTAGGGAAGATGGACAGGCCGGGGATAGGTGATTCAGACCAGAACAATTATTCCATTTTCAATCATCTAACTTTTGAGGTATTTTATAACAAGGACCGTGTTATTGAGATTACTGTTAGGACAGATTCCTATGATGTGGTAGACCTAAATGAGGACAAGGAATTATGTATCCAGTTTATATATACTGTAAAGTGGAGCAAAACAAGCATTCCTTTTGAGAAAAGGATGATTAAGTATTCAGCATCATCTTCGTTGCCACATGTCTTAGAAGAGCACAAATTTTCCATCACAAACTCAAGTGTGATCACTCTCATTCTTACCATTTGCCTCGTGACCTATTACATACAAGTTATTAGGAAAGCCTTCAAGTAAGAAACAGCCTGAATTTTTAGATATCTACAGTCTTAATTATCTTCATTTATCTTACGTAATGTTTCTTTTTGAGTTCTTTTGAAGTTCTTCACATGATGAGGAATTGGCTGACAATCAAGAAAAGACAGGATGGAAAAACATACATGGAGATGTGTTTCAGTACCCAAACTACAAGTTGTTATTTGCTGCTGCCCTTGGTTCTGGCACTCAATTACTTACAATGTGAGCATTATAAGACTGTATATAAATCATAAATGTTGGCTCCCATGGCCTAAATGTTTGTGGTTTTGATTTCCAGTGCTGCATTTATTTTGATACTTGGATTACTTGGAGTGTTTTATCCATGCAACCGAGGGATTCTATGGACAGCACTTGTGGTCACATATGCAAGTACCTCTGGAGTTGCTGGATATACATCAGCTTTTGTTTATTGTCAATTTGAGGGAATGGAATGGGTATGTGCTATTATTTGTTCCTTTTCATAAATTTGATTGTTTACCTGATGCATCAACCAAGTTCTAGTTGTATTGGAGATTAAAAATTTTTGTTTGACAGGCGAAAAATTTTCTGCTTACTGGATTTCTCTTTTGCGGACCCCTCATTTTCACATTCGGCTTCCTAAATTATGTTGCATTCACTTACAAAGCAACTGCAGCAATGCCCTCTGGCACAATCTTTTTATTAGTTCTGGTATGGGCTCTAGTAGCTTTACCGTTGCTTACATTTTGTGGGATTGTTGGAAGCAAAGTCAAGGCAACAAACCAAACTCCTTTTCGCACCACAAATTCTCCAAGTGCTATACCTCCTGGCCCATGGTACATGGATGTTCTTCCCCAAATGGCCTTGGCAGGAATTTTACCCTTTGGTGTCATCTATACGGAGCTATACTATATATTTGGTAGTCTATGGGGTCACAGGATCTACACTATCTACACCATTTTGGTTATCGTCTTCATCATTCTTCTTATTGTCACCAGCTTGGTCACCATAGCATTGATTTACTTTCAGCTTGCTGTTGGAAATCATCAGTGGTGGTGGAGGTAAATGACTTCCTACACATTCATATCCCCATTTCTTGCTCCTCCTTAAATAACTTGAAACTATACCAGTTAGGGGGTTGCACATCACACTGGAATAATATCCCAAAGATGTAGTTTCATATCATAAATCATGTCTTCTGCTTCAGTTTTTTCTTCTAAAAATAACTAGATTCTTACCTGTTAAATGATTGCTTGTTTAAATTTAAAACATTGAATTTTCCATCTTCATTGTCATGCTGCAAACTACAATATGCATACTTAGCTAAATGAAATTGAGTGCTTCAGTTAAGTGACTTCTACTCATTCCTTTATCTGATGTTGATCCATTCTGTAAACTTTATACATACTTGTATTGATTCCTAATTCATGTTGACCTTGCTATAACATTGTTAGCATAGAAAAGCATATGCCGGAAAAAGAATAATGTTCAATCAATTAAATGATCTGGGTCTTAGTTATGACATTCTTGTTGGGATTTATATTTTTACCCTAGCTTTAGCTTAGTAATTGAAACAACTAATCACTTTCAAAAATTAAAACTGATAGCATCGTGCAAATATTATATACAACAGGAGTGTAATAGAGCTGTGACACTTTCTATAATATATTTTTTATTTATAGAAAAAGACATTAAGTGATGAAATAGAAATGGGAAATATTAATAAAGGAAAGACGACTTAGATATATGGTTAAACATGCAAAATAAGGATTCAAGTTTTTTAGGTTAAGTCGGTAGGTAAAGAAGCTTGTGAACACAGGGATGCATCAAAGTGATGCTAGTCCTTATAGTTCAACTGTAATGGAGGCATTTTCACTGAAGTTTACTTTCAACTCAGTCATGTTAGATCAGTTGACAATAGCAAATAGAGGACTCGAACATGGAGCATGTCTTGTAACTTCCATCACTTTGAATTTGTCTTTGATTGATTGTAAACTTTTGTGGCTGTTAGCATATGATCCCTGATTACATCTTAGTTCATATGATATTATTTGGATGAAATAGATTATTGAATATGTCTCAATTAATTATCTCATATTTTTGATTGAGCTAGTCTTTTACTTTATTCTTTATGCATGTTGCAGATAAGATCTAGCAAAAGACTAAACATCAATTTGTTAATGAACCGCGGCAAAAACTTTGATTAGTTTGTTCTGTGCCTAATCTTGGTTGTTGAATCCCTCAGGTCTTTTCTTTACGGTGGGTCAGTTGCACTCTACGTGTATGGCTACTGCTTCTTTTACTACTTCTCAAGCTCAGAGTGGTCTGGTCTCTTGCAGATCTCTTTCTTCTTCAGTTACATGGCTTGTGTCAGCTATGGCATGTTCCTCATGCTTGGTACTGTTGGTTTTACATCATCGTTCTTATTTATTCGTCATATATATGGATCTATCAAGTTTGATTAATGCATGAATCCCCAATGCACAAGACCCTATTTAAGTGTTTTAAAACGGTATACAGCTTTTTAATTTTTACTGCGTTTGAAAAGATTTTAACAAAAACAAGATTAAGTGAACATTAAATAATGCAGCTTATGCTCTGGCGAAATGAGCAGATACAAGGTCAAATAAAATGTGTATTATTTATATTTTATTTGTTTTCATTATTTCAGTGTTTTATTTTTTAAGTGTATATGTATTTTATATTATTCTCTTTAATTTTATAGTTAGTAAAATGTTTTATTTAATTATTTTATTTTATTTTTTAATATTATTTTATATTAGACAAAACATTAACTGGACTAAACAGGTTTCCCATGTTCCAATTTTGAGTTACAAAAATTTTTTGGTTCAAATAAACATGGTTTTGGGCGGATGAATAATCGTATAAATCTAGTCCAAGAATACAAGTGCAACTTGGTTGATTAAACATTGGATAATTAAGATACATCATCATTCATTATTAAAAAGTCAAATTTATGGAATAGGCTGCTGGCTTTGATTTAAATGATTTTTATTATTATTATTATTATTATTATTATTATTGTTTTTATTTATATTTAAAACATTTATTTAACTAAATGATTTAGATATTTGGTTGAACTCAGTGTTTTTTGTATAAAAAAAAATGTAAATATTTAATAGTTGAAAAACATCTTATACTAAAAAAAAAAAAATGACTTGGTAAGAGGTAGAATAGAATGGTCTAATCTAATCTTTTTCTATTTTAATACAATGAATTTAGGAGCACCTCCACTTACAAAGAGCTTGTGTAACACCTAATTATTTTTTTTTATTATTTTTTATGTTATTTTATTATTTCTATATAAATATAAATGTGTTAATTGAATTTAATTTATTTTATTTTATTTTATTTTGATTTAATGAAAATAATAGTAATAATATTAATAAAAAGGGAAAAAAATAATTGAGAATTTAATTTAAAACAATTTTGAGGAAAAATAGTGAAAATTTGGGCTCTGATGATATTTTTGAAAGAAAAATCGGAAAACAGATGTCAAAACACGATTTAAAAAAGTTATGTCACGTCAGCTGCCAGGTCATCAACCTCGACCAACCAGAACACGCCAGGTGACAGAGACGCTGACGCGAGAGGCCACGCGGGAGGGAGCCATGTGGGCGATTCGCGTGCGCGCGATCGAACGGCTGAGATCCGTTCCTGCGCGCACGGACGGCCCAGATTCCATTGCGATGAACGGTCCAGATTCACTCCCTATTTAATCGCAATTGGACGGTCCAGACTAAATGCGATGGACGGTCCAGATCAAAAGCGGATGAGTATAAATAACTCCATCCGCACCCAAACCCTAACCCTAACCACCAGAGCCCCTCGCCGGAGAAGACAGCCCAACCGCCGAGGAGCCGACCATCGCCGCACCGGAGCAATTTTTGGCCGCCAAACGAGGTAAAAATTCTACCTTTTGCTCAAAATTTTATTCCAAACCCACCCACGGCCAAATCTGAGTGAAAGAACCGGCCAATTAACCGGAAAACGCTGTTGAAGCTCAGCAGCGTCGGTGCGGGGTGTTTTGGTTTTCGCCTCTGATGAGGCCCTTCCCGATTCCTGTTCGATGTGATTTTTCTACAGTTGTGATTACCGTTTCCTCCTCTACAGGTTGACTAGAGCAAAACACACAACCGCAACGTGACCCGGAGGAGCCGCCGTACTGGAGAGCCCCACCGCCGGTGAGTTTCGGTTTTCTATATTTTTTCGGCCCACCGATGGCCTTAAGTGTGTTTTCTCACAGGAACCGATGCAAGTTTGGCTTAATCCTCTTTTAAAGATGCCCAGTACTGGTTGGCGGAGACGGAGAATGCCTTCAAGACCCTAGGAGTGACTCCTGAGCAGAGGGTCACCCGTAGCTACATGCTAGTGGGAGAAGCAGATCGCTTGTGGGAACTCAAGCTGACCACCCTGCCTGTTCCAGCTACTTGGGAACAGTTTCTAACAGCCTTTCATGCAGAGTACCTCCCAGAGCACATCCGACATCTGAATAAGATGGAGTTTGTCCAGTTGGTCCAAAAGAACATGACTGTGTCAAAATATGCTCGTAAGTTCCTGGAGTTGGGCCGATACTCCCCTGAGACGTTGATGGATGAGGGCAGGAAGGCTAGGAGGTTCCAGTGGGGCCTCCGCCTAGAGATCAAGCAGCATTTGTTTGTACTGAAACTCGGGACTTATTCGGCCGTTCTGGCCAAGGCACAGTTAGTGGAGATGAGCCTCCACACCCTCTCTCAGTCAGTAGGGAACTATAGACCTTCAGCTCCACCCCGCAGACCAGCACCTACTGCATCTGTCCAACAAAACAAGAGGCCCATACCAGTGATCTAGGCTCCCCCTCAAGCTCCAGTGGTAGGACGTGGTAAGATCTATCAGCATTGCGGCAGGGATCATGGGGACCAACCATGCTATCGCCTCAACAACACATACCGCATATGTGGTAGTGCCCAATACTATGCGAGAGAGTGCCCAAGAAACCAGAATCAGGGGCATATCTCTTATCTAGGGCAGGGCTTACAACCTCACCTAGTAGGATATCGAAGCCGACCCGGACGTAGTACAAGGTATGTATACTATCTGTAACCATCTTGCTTATGTTTTGATTGACACTGGTGCATCGCATTCATTTGTTTCACCTGTTTTTGCATCCAAATTTAATGTATTATCTGATAAACTTGATTCAATGTTATTTGTGTCTATTGCTGGGAGTGTAACACTATTGGAAAAAGTTATCTACAGGGCTTGTGTCGTACAGATAGTAAATAAGAAATTGAGTGTAGACCTAATAGAATTAGACACGGAGAATTTTGATGTAATTTTTGGGATGAATTGGCTAGTGGCATATCACGCCACCGTAGATTATTTTAACAAGAAAGTTGTATTCAATCCTCCTAATCAGGAACCATTTACAAATTAATAAAATCATTTAGTACTTATTCCTTGATGGCAAGTTTTCTTATTTGTCGAGTACCTTAACCTTGCTATTTTCTCTAACTAGGCAAACTCAAGAAATAAAATTATATTTAAGAGATTTCGGTAGTCCAAGACTTTTCAGATGTATTTTCAGATGAACTACCGGACTACCAGTGGACAGGAAAGTCGAGTTCACCATAGACCTATAGCCAGACACCCAGCTTATTTCAGTTTCTCCCTTACCGTATGAGCTGCGTTGAGATGGAGGAGCTGAGGAAATAGATCACTGAATTACAAGACAGTGGTTTTATCAGACATAGTGTGTCCCCTTGGGATGTCGGAGTCACTTTTGTCAAAAAGAGAGATGGAACTTTGAGACTATGTATTGATTACAGATGATTGAATAGGGTCGCAATCAAGAATAAGTATCCCCTTCTCAGGATTGATGACCTCTTCGATCAGTTGTAGAGTGCGCAGGTCTTCTCCAAAATAGACTTGCGATCAGGTTACCATCAGGTGAAAATAAGGACAGAAGACATCCCCAAGACGGCTTTTCGAACCAGGTACGGACACTATGAGTTCCTGGTCATGCCATTTGGGCTAACCAATGCCCCAACCATCTTCATGGATATGATGAACAAGGTCTTCAGACAATTCTTAGATCAATTTGTTATCGTGTTCATCGATGACATCCTGGTCTATTCAAAAAGCAGAGAGGAACATGTTCACCATCTAATTCAGGTTTTATAGGTTCACAGAAGAAAAAAGTTGTATGCAAAGTTGAATAAGTGTGGATTATGGCTTGAGCAGACCACCTTCCTGGGACACATCATATCAAAGGATGGAATATCAGTGAATCCTGAAAAGTTGAAGCGGTGCTCAGCTGGGAGAAATTGACATCAGTTAAAGAAATCTATAGCTTTATGGGAATGGCAGGCTATTATCGCATGTTCGTTGAAGGATTTTCTAGTCTACTTGCTCCCCTAACCCGACTCACAAAGAAGAATGCCAAATTTGAGTGAAATGAGGACTGTGAAAGAAGTTTCTCAAAACTAAAGAAGTTGCTGACTACTGCACCTGTGCTGACCCTACTGAATGGATCGGGGGAATATACATTTTACAGTGATGCCTCCTATCTAGGCCTGGGTTGTGTTTCAATACAGCATGAGAATGTCATAGCCTATGGGTCCAGACAGTTAAATAGTCATGAGAAAAATTATCCCACCCATGACTTAGAGCTTGCCGCAATCATGCACGCCTTGAAGACTTAGCGTCATTATTTATATGGAGAGACCTTTCAGATCTATCACAAGAGTT